TCAGTCGGAGATTCGCTGAAACTCCGTCGGCCGGAGGGTGGTGACCAGCTCAATCGCTGTTGACTCCCGGCGGATTTGCCGCATGCCTACGCCGTAGACCTCGATGTGTTTTATCTCGATATTTCGACCGCTCCCGAATAGACGAATCGACTCGGGAACTTTCCGCTTCCATTGAGTCGGGCCCGAGCCCCGGAGGCATCGAGACTCTTAAGAGTTCCGGATTGCCGATATCTATAAGTGAGACGTCGCGAGATCCCGAAGCGCTTGGAGACTCTTCCGACTCGGGCTTCCAGGGAACGCGACACGAGCTCGACGGCTTCTTGGAAGCTCCTTTGGTTCTGGAGGAGAAGCTTCTCCCCTCCTTCCCCTCGGGGAATTCAGTTCACAAATTAAGGGCATGCTTTTCTTGACATCTGCGTGGAGGAGGAGAGGACTCGCGGAGAACACCGGTTGCGTGCGCGCAAGCCACCCGGGGTCACGACAGGAAGATGGGAGGAGTTTGTATCCATTAGCCTTGTATACCGGGCTTTGCCGTTTGAAGGGAAAATCTTCGTGGTCGCTCCTGTGGTCTACGCGCATTGCGACAGCGACTTGGGGAAAAGCAACGCAAAATAGGTCCAAGTGACGTCAATTCTGGTCCTTTACAGAAACAAGCATCGATCGTTCGACCAATCGATCGATGGCCTGCCTGTCCAGTCGACCACTCTCGTCATCCTGCATCCGGTTGCATAAGTAACGACTGCCTACTTCATGATGATTGCCTCCGGAATGAGATATCACAGACCCTTGCGGCAATAGGATCAAACGGATTCTCATCAACTCGATAATTCCCTTGATGATGGTCGGCGGCCGCTAGACGAGCGCCAGACGGAACTCGGCCTTCAGCTCGCATGAAAGCTTTCCTTGGAGCAGAGAGATCGATTGTAGGTCCTCTTGGAAACGGTGAGGATTAGGAATAAACCTTGGCGAGCCGTTCCCCTCTTATCTGAGCTCCGGGTGTCTTACCGGGCGTAGTTGCGCTCGCTGCCGTTGCGCTTACGAAGCCCTTCCGACTATAGAAACTGGTTTTTTCTCGCTCCCGTGGAGCTCATGGACACACATCCGCGCTCAAAGATCACGGCTCATCAACCTAGAAACTTCCAGACGAGTTGAACCGAAACTCGAGCGTCTGCTCGAAGAAACTTTGCTGCGGCGGGCTTCTACGCTTGGATTCTCGCTGCATCGATGGAGGGAGCGTTCCGACTCCGCGTCGAATATCAAAGCGAACAAGCCATACGTGACGGAGGGATAGCCGATCAAAGGAATGCTTGGAACGCTCATCCGCATTATTTAGAGAAGCGAGGAGAACAGTATGGGGGCCGAACCCACGCTCGCCCCCACCCCCCAGGAGACGTCGGTTTCCAGCGCGACAACGGGGGAGCAGACAATCAGCACGTGGAGGGCCACGCGGCCTTTGTATGATGCTCAAATACATTCTTTGTCTACCCCTCGGTGGTATGAGATCAATGAATAGATGTATGGAAGAATGGATGAACAATAATCGAACAGGTAGGCGGTCGCTGGCGAGATGCATGATCAATGGATGAATGGATCGCAAGGATTTGTGATAATTTAGGAATAGATGCCTCCGACCGCTCCGACAACTGGCTCTAACTCAGTCAGCGTTTCTCGTTTCGCCTGCGATGGAGGACGTGTTCAACGCGGGGCGCCAGGGTCGCTTCCTCGTACCGCTCGTCGGTGACAGCTTAAGAGAGAAGATAGCCCGACGCAGAGGGGGAGTGACTGAACAGGGTTCGGCCGAGGCTTCATAGGTCCCGTGAAACGCGTTTGGCTCCCCACTCGAACGGGTTCTGCGGAGGACTCGCACAAGAACTACACAGGCGGCCTAGTGGAGCGACATCCCATCGAAGGTCCCAGTCGAGTCGACAGAAGTTCATTGTCGGATCCTCTGGGAGACCATCACTACTTTCGACGGGCCGCAGAGAGGTTATCTAGAGAGAGGGGGGAGATAGAGGAGGATCTTGACACCGATCCGGAGATGCTCTATCGTAACTCTAACGAGGTCGTAATAACGAACCGCCATGAACCTCTCCGAGGTCACGTAACGGAATGCGTCGAAAACTACTTCTCGTTATGGTCGCGAACGTTGTCTCCAGTCCGCGTCATCCTGCCCCTCCAATCGCGTCGGTTCCATGCAGCGACTCTTCCGCAGCACCTCGTCAGAGACGAGTGAGGAAAATCGGGAGAAGCAATATGCTTCCGTAGAGCACCATTCCGATTCGCGTTCGTTCCCGCTTCCCCCCATTGATTCTCCGAACGGTCCGACGGCGCCTTCTACATTAATATATCAGCAGATGAAAGAGAAGGGAACCGGCAACGACCCAGTAAGTCAGTCACTCAGTCGGCCATCGGACCAACCAACTGTAGACGGTTCGACGACAACGACGACTACCTCTTCTCACGTTTTTCGCTTTCGAGCTTCGTTTTATTAAATCTCTGCTCGACCGCGTTGGCTTCCGCGACAGGCTCGGCGGAGCAGCCAGTAACCTTTACACCGCCGTTTCCGGCGGTGTCGGACGCGGGGATAGCAGGATGGGAGGGGGGGGGGCGTGGGGGAGACGACCGCTGTCAAGGCGACCAAAAGAATATACGGAGCTCACGGAGGCTCAGGAGATTCTATGCGAACGCTAGGGGGCACAGGGGCGAGGTAGAGGTGGAAACGCGACATTCCTCGCAGCAGCTGTTGCTGTTCCCGCTTTTTCGACTACCTGCTTTGTGAATACGATCTCGTTCTACTCCACGAACCAGAACTGGATTGCGCGAAAATTCCCTTGGAGCACCTGAGCGAGTCTGCTCTCATTCCCTCGCGGATTCGGTGCTCCGTCAATTTTCTCCGAGTTCCCGCCTCTCGTTTGTCTCCGTGCCTCTTGAACGGTTCCGACTGGAGCGAGGGGCACCGAACAGCATCTTCCGGCGAGGGAGGCCCCTCGCTGATGAGCCAGGGTCCATCGATCAGGATTTGGAAGGTCGAAAAACAATCAAATGCATGTTTACATTGTGGGAAATTCCATGCGGAGCCAGAGCTTCAAGTTTTCGAGAACGAAATCCCAGGCGTCCGCAGCTCTCGGAAGACGCGAAGCTCTCAATGAAACCGGTGAGAGCGAGTATGAAAGTGCGTGCTCAACGGGTCCCTCCAGCGGACGGGGTAGATAGCACCGAGGCGATGATTAAATGTCGTCTTGAGGGTCGCCTCCCCCCAAGCCACACGCTCAAGCGGTACCGGTCACCAAGGCCATCGGGAGAAGTACGCGAACGAGGAATAGGGCCGCAAGGCAGGTCGGAGGGGAACAGCTTCAAAGACTCCGTCCATCCATCACTTGGGGAGGGAGATACATAACTTGAAGCCCGGCAGCCAGACTGACTCGCGGGTAAACTGGTCGGGCAACAATTCAGGTAGCCTTTCCACAGCGATAAGCTCGCCGGAGCTCGATGGTAGGGGGAACGTGGACAAGCATCAACCTCATGAAACTCTTCTGAATTTTCTTTCCTTCCTCCCACACAGTGCTTAAGCTTCCCAGCGCGGCCGAGAGCGATGCGCGGCAAGAATATCTGAGAGCGACGGAGATTTCCTGGACGCTTCTCAATCGCTTTGGAGCACCGGGCTACGTACGTACATACGTATTCTCGCGCAAGTTCCTTCCAAAGCCGATGCTCAGTCGTGCTTGTGCCTGTGTCATCTGGGACTTCTTTCATTTGGAACTGACAACGCCTATTACCGCAACGACACCTCAAGTGGACCTTTGGTTGAGTTCTCCAAAGCTTGAGCTCGAGTACTCCTCACTCAGCCGAATGATTACCCATCCGCAGAAGCTTGTGAGTCCGAGATACGATCCCGGGATCTCGAGTGCCCGGATCAGGCTGTGGTCGTCCCGAGTAATCGTCGTGCGCACTGACAAGCCACCACACGTCGGAACTTCGAGTCGAAGCTCCGAACACTACCACCCCGACCACCGAAAGACCGGGAGCTGGAATCTGAATTGAAAGGAGAGGGACAGACGGAGAAAATTGCTCGACCTCCCGTTCATCCGTCGTTGTGAGTTCTTTAGCGAGCAAATTAAATTTGACATCGCCCGGCTCGTAAGGTCTGGAGGTCGACCAATCCGGGTACGCCTCCGACCAAATTACACATGGGTCTACAATTCTCGGGTGAAGATTCTTACAATTAGATTTTTCTTGACAAACTCCCTCAGAGTTCTCAGGAGCTCTTCCGTGGGCGACCCGAACCGGCTTGGGGTACACGTCGGCTCCGGTTCAACTAGTGTGGAGACGTCCGAGACTCCGGGAGGCTCGGGCAGTTTCCGGTGAGAACGAGAATGAGAATTATGCATTCCATCTCCGCGATGCAGCACCCGGTCTCAAAACGGGGCGGATGAGGTAAATGACGACGGTCTCCGTATTCGCATGCGGTGATGATCGGTAAGGTTGACTCAGATGACTGGGACCTCTCGAGCTGGCTACGACGACGACGAATACTTCGCGATGATATCCGTCATCAACGTCTAATGCGAGGTTGCCGTGCAAACTCGGAAAGCGAGTTCCGGGACGACGGATCTCTTCGTCATCTCATTCATCCCGGCGCTCAGTGGGTGAATGGCGGATATTGAGCAGGCCGCATTCCACGAGGTTTGCTGTCCAGGTATTCTTTCTTTCCCAGAATCAGCGGGTGTCGAGCAAGCTTTCCTCTCTTTTGGTGATGAATAATGGACCCCGCTCCGAGGGAGCGTCATTCGTGGAAATTAGGGTCCTCCCCTCGCACCGACGCGCTTCAACGATAATAATAGATGACGGATCCGGAATCAAACTTCGAATCGAATCGAGAATTCGTTGACTTCCTATACCATGATCCCGATGAGGACCGGAACATGGTCTCTGTGGCCTTTTCCTCTACGACGCAAAAGCTGCGTGCGCGAAACGCAAGCGAACGACTTCCGGACACTTACCTGTAGAATGGGCGGAGAGATGTGCATGTGATTTTCTCTAGCGGTAGCCTGGTAAGCGCCCTCCGTGAACTCGGGCTCAAACTCGTTCTCGTCCTCTACGGTGATATGAACTGTGGCACTGTAATGCAGATGAGGAGGATTAAAGGTCGGCCGACTATACCCGCGAAAATTTATAGGAACGAAATCCGGGAACCCGTCCTCCTCCTCCGACTGGAGGAATATCAGGGAGGGTTAAAAATTCCAGGAACAAGTAGTTGATTCCTGTGTTGTCTGTCGAGGAAAAGGTCTGACCTATCTCCCTTCTCTGGTCAGAGTCGGACCGTCTGGAACTAGTTAAGGTCGAAATCTATCTGCATCAGAAAAGAGCCGGTAATTGACATCATTGATATTGACAAACGCAGCGCTCTCATCCAATAGCAAGTCAGCCAGTCGGCGAACGCTCTCGCTGCTCTCATCGGGCGCTCTCGTTGAAGTGCCAGTTCAGCAGCTCAATTGATTTTGTGTTGTTAGCTCGGACTCAGCACCTGCCTGAGGGCGGTGGAAATCATCGGTCTGTCGGTAGCTTACTCGTCCGAATGGATGCGGCCATATGGTTTTCCCCATATGCCAGCACCGGATTCCGGGATCCTAGTGAACGCTGACCTCCTAGAGAGAACTTATCTCGCTATAGGGGTCTTCGCGGCTGCACGAATTCCCCGAGGTTCTAAAGAGGATTGTAATCCAGGAGATTCGCAACACGATCGCCACCCTCGCCCAACTGAATTAGTTCCCATTCGAGGCTGCTAGGTTTCCGAATCGTGATAGGCCGTCGAACGAGATTCCGGTCGCTGCCCATGCTGGAATGGTAGGCCGCTGCCGGATTTGGTTTGGCACGGGAAAGGCACGACTTGGACGCATGGTTCCATGATTCCCACTTCCCTGTGCAATGATTAGTCCTCTACCCAGAGATTCTTTCTTTTTCAGAAGTTATTCTCTGGGAAAAAAAATTTCTCGCCTTCTCACTATGGTCGGCCGGTCCGGACCACTCAGCGGGCTATACGGCCACCCAATCAGTGCAGCAGTTCAGTTCTCCGCTCTTTTCTCCGTACTCGGTGGCCGAGACTTTTCCAGGACGAGGTTCAAAAACGGTGGCGACAGACACAGCGGCAACGACGACGACCGACGTCACCGACGACCAAGACGGCCGGGTCGGTCGCCGATATTGAACCCCTCAGGAGAGATGATCGGCTAATGTTCACACCTTTCGTTCCTTCTCCACCATGGAAGAAGTAGAGGAGAGGCAGCGGCTGGCGGCATCGACACCGTAGTTTCAATGGAATCGACTCAGAATCTCGTAGATGTTCAACGCCATCCTCTGAAGGTCAAGCCTGGGAGGTGCCAGCATTCGAGCCGCCGATTTGTTTCGGAGATCTTTTTTGTTTCGGAGGTCGGTGGTTCACGGCCTCCGCGATGGAGTTTGATGAGATGCGCGCGTCGCTAGCGAACAACTCGGACCAGTGTCCATGAAAACCAGACTTCTCGAATTATTGCCCGAGTCGAGCGGTGGAGCATTAGGGACGAGAGAGCTCCCCCGGGGAGGGGATGGAAGAGGGAATTCTACTCCGTAGGATTGAAAATGACCCCGGGCGCTATTGGATTGTCCTTCCACCGTATCATATGGTATGAAGCCCACGAATCGTTTCAGCTCGACGGAAGTCCGCATCAAGGCTCCAGGACCAAGCTCAGCCAAAGAACGGCGAAGGAAACGAGACGGCAAGGCCCTCGTATCGTGTAGTCTCGGCGGCGGGAAGCCCCTCGCTCACATGCTGCAGCTTCTTCGTCGACCGTTTCCCGAGCCTATGATTAATCTGTCGAATATGGGCCTCCTTCTCACAGGCCATATTAGACTTCGTATCCCGTTCGTCAGTCGGTGCGTGTGTGAGTCCTTCCGCCGATCCAATATTACTTGCCACAGTCTCCCACGAAACCAGATCCATGTAAGACGGTCGGTATATCCTACCGAACCTAGCATCAACAGCTGATCTTTTGGCGCTCGCATCTTATGAGCGGCGGTCCCGAGTTCGCCTCTTTATGGATTAGCTCCGGTAGCCTGGCCTTTTCACTGAACTCGATCTTCCTCGAGCCGTTCAACGCTCGTGCTGAATGGATCCCCACGCCTTCAACTCTCTTGTCTACGGTACCGGATCCGACGCCGAGTCCTTCACCCGATCGACAGTCACTTACTTCGCCGATCGAAGGCTGTGAGGGTGGAGAACTACCCACGGGCTTTACAGAACTGCGGAGGGAAAAAAATCCGCTCCCATTTCCACTGCTCAACTCTGAGGAGCAAGCGAGCGGCCCCGATCGTATCGATGTATCGATCCGCTGATTTACGATGAGTGTACTCGGGCAGAAAATTCTCTCCTCGTGACTCTGAACCGTTGCCGCTCAGACGGTCGGCACTGGAGTTGCTCATTTTAGATATTCTACGATAATTCCGTGAGAATTGCTCCGAATCCCGATAATTGTCTTCCAATAGAGTATATCGATGGCTGAGGCGCGGTTCATAAAAGTGGGGCGGGCCAGCATCCCGAGGAACTCGCGAAAGCTCCGGAGAATGCCTCTCCAGGCGTACCCCTCTGGGCTCGTCGAATGCTGGTTCATCTCGCCATAGAACTACCGCGTTTATGAAGATCCTCGGAGGCCGCGGGACGTAGCAAAAGAATAGTAGAGCATGTTCGAGGGCGGGGGGAACCCCCTGGGTTGGCGAAACTCCCTCCTTCCCGCGACGATAGGTCAGGATAGAATGGAAATCCGTGCGTGACATCTTTTCCGTGCCCAAGCGTCGAAGCCGCTCTCCTTTCATTTGTGTAGTTTTTCGCTTGGACGCTGGACTTGTTCTGAGGCTTCTGCAAATAGCGACGAGGAAACGACAACGCCAAGGCACACAGGCCCTGAAGCGTTTCGTTCGGCCGGTCGAATAAGCACTGCTACATACAACAAGAGTGCATGTCTGCCTGACCGCCGCGCCGTCGGAGCGAGCGGACGACCGACCGATTCACTTACTGAGTAAGTGGCGAGCGAGCTAAGGATCATTTGTGTACTCAACAGATTTCAGCCGGGAAAACGCTCCCAAGTCCGTGATCCACGATGGCTGTTTCGGATCTGGATTCGTTCGGCATCCGGGGCCGCCGTTGCCACCGAGTGCCTCACCGACGATTGTTGCTGTCCACATCGTCGCCTCTGCTTGCCTTGTCGACTCGCTCGAGAGCAACGGAAAGCGGAGCCCCGTTGCGACCGACGAGCTGCTACCGCCACGACTGATACCGCCGGCGCGACCAACAAGGGCTAACCAAAGCCTAATTAATTGCCGTGCGAAACATCGTTCCCGCCGCCGCTGTTCTTCATTTCCATTCGTCGACATCGGCGCTGTCGTTCATGACAGATCCGTCTTGTGACCGTATTGCTCTTGGGTTGTCGGACGGAAAACGACTCACAGACCTCTGCAAATAGTCCCTCCTGAGACCTCCGAGAGGGAAACTTTGAATACGGTTGCACCCGAGCTCTCTCCGCGTCCGAGTCCTCTGCTCGGAGCGGACTTCCCCACGCCAACCTTCCTTCCCGGAAGAGTAACCCCGCACTCGATGCAGGACAGGCAACATCTTGTCACCAATCGGATCTTCTGTAAGTGATGTGACAAGACAAGAAAACCTTTTCGCTGTGACTCGATTCCGTAGTGAGCCTGCGCTCGGCCTCAACATATGGTTTGAAGCAGCTCCCGTTTCCGGCTCTCTCTGTATACGGCCGAGGGAATTTCTGAACGGAAACTTCTTAAACAAGCTTCGGATGCCCACGTCGGCGTCGGCTTCTGTCGTCGACGGGGACTACATGGCATCGGTCTTTGGCGAACTGCTCTCCGAGGCATTGGTACGATGCCAGACAGGCTTCCGTGCCAATCAGCAATGTTCGTTTTGCCACGACATCCATCTCGTAAACGAAGGCGCTTTCTCTTTGCGTTGCTTACGCCAGCTCCGTTTCCGTGTGCCAGACATCGGTTGCTCCGCAGGCTGCAGGAGAGAGCTTCTGCCGCCGCCGCCGCCGCCGTCGTCTAGGATCGGCGCTGGATGTGTTATCGTTGCCAGACCTCTTTGCCTCCCAGCGAGCCAGGCAGCCGAAAAGGAAAAACAGGCCAGGTGCACGGCGAGACCCCTCTCGACAGGGGACGGCACCGCTCCCCCTCGCTAGCCTGCTCTGTCGGTTTCTCACTTCCGCTCTCCCTCATTTGCAAAAACGCTAATACTAACCAGCTGCGGGACACGCAATGATAAGGTCCTCTTGCTGACCAGCTGAACTCGCCATGTCTTGCATCCTAAGTCAAACTGGAACAAACGCACCGTTCCCATTGAGACAGACCTTCAGGCAAGCAGCTAACCACCGCTGCTCCTCTTCGCCCCTCGTCCCACTCCACTCTCTCATCCAGATGCTCTCTCTGTATCGTTGTTGTGAGTTCCTTCTCCAACTACCTCTCAGCATCCGAATGGAACGTAATTGCATCTGTAATTCTGAACGTGAGCTCACGTTGAGCGTAATCAGATGAAAAGTTGCAAGAGGACGCCCGAAACTTGTGCCTGAATCCATTTTGCCTCATGCATTCTCGCGAATCGAAAGATTCTTGAACAGCGCTTCCGAAAAAACATTCGCTCCCGAAACGCAATTCCCTCATGTCGGAGAGCCGGTGTCGGATCGCAAGCACTAAGAAGTTCAAGGTTGGAACACTGTCTGCGGCAGGTGTTGCCACTCGGGAGCGCCTGGGAAAAGAGGAGCTCGAGCCGAATAGGCTTCCCTCTCATCGAGAGCCGAGTCAGAATCCGCGGCTGTTGCGGATGCCGATTCTGTTTTGTTATGAAGCCAAACAGCAGATCTCTTTGGCATCGCAGTGGAAGCAACCGGGAAGCCGAAATTCATTGCCGGCCTCAGCTATCTTCGATGGGGATTTGTTGGGGATGTGAATTCCCAGTAGTATTCCCCGCGAAATGAGGACTTCTCAGGCGACCGAAGACCATTTCTCTCGAAAAGCGGAGTATGCGTAAAATGACGGGTCGCTGGAGCTCACGGCAAGCGATACGGAGTCGCCAAAAC